AAGTTTTTGTCACATTCGATATATTGTACGCGTTGTCATATTTAGTGTGTATTGTTTTTTTACTTTCTATATCATAAGCAGATCTCTATCTATATACATATATAAATATCAACTAATGGATATCCTTACTGTGACCAGAATTTTAAAAATTCAATAATAAGATGGAAAATTTATCAAATTCGTTTGAAATAATATTTGTAATTGTTTTCAACACTATGTCTCTGTTATTCGATCGATGGTCCTAATACTCATGTATTTGTTTTTTCACTCTCTGTTTATTATTCTAAACACAATGACAATATATTTTTTGTATACAAGACTAAAAAAACAATTAATTTAATTTTTGTTAATAAATTGTTCCTCGTATTTGACATGTTTATTCACGAGTACGCATCTTTCGACGAACATTTCGAATACGTGCTGATAATCGAGATGTAATTAAATCCTGTTAAGAAAGTCGAATGTATCTTTATCATAAAATATGGTTTTTAACATTACATGAGGATTAATTGTATCTTCACATGCTAAATAAGGATATTTTGTAATAAGTACAATACCAATCTTTTTATATTCTACATCGTGAGTTAGTTGTGGATTAACATTCATATAAAAATCAGTTGCTTCTCGAATTAATTCATTCATTACTGACTCAGGATTACCTTCAACAAAAAAAAAGATGTAATTTAATATGACAAAATCAATATAAAAGTCATCTACCCATGAGAAGCTCATGATGAACTTTACTACTAAATCTTGGTAATAGTGATCGATCAGGAATTTGACTAAAATCAATTTCCTATGAAAAAGATTTTAATTATAGAGTGATCGAAAATTTTTTTGACAGAATGTTTGTCCACTGTTGATCTGATAGGGTATTTCTGGCGAAATCAAAAGTAATAAATTTGTACTCTTTTCGAGTACGTGCAGAGAAATTTTGTTCGGAAGAAATGAAACAATTTTTGAAAAGATCGAAGAAATCACTTTCGACGAAATATTTTTTGTTTCAATGCAAGACTACCCGATAAAATGCACGGTTTTTTGTCTTTCAATAAGGCACCTCAATTTTTGAAAAATTGACAATTTTTTTACGTTATACACTTTGACTCCGTCAGAAATACTTTTTAGCGAATAAAATAAGTTTCTAGTTTTATTTCATTATTATTTATCGGTAGTATTGATTATTGTTTTTTTTTGCTACATATCGACGAGAAAGTGGAAGATCAGATATCAGATCTTCAACAAAGAGGCAAGTAGTGCGAAAAAAAAGAACAAGTTGTTTTTGATCAATCAATGTACTGATAGATAATCAGCACATGTTAATTTGAAAACTTACTCATTATCTTCCTGAAAATTTAAAATAAAAATAAAAATATTTTTGTCTATATGGATTTCCCATGCATATGAGAAAAAGTCTCATTTTTTCTACATAAAAACAAAATCTAAGCAAATTAAAAAGATTGTTTTAAAGGTTGAAGTCTAGTGGCTCAAAATGAAACAAGATGATTGATGTAATTTCTTCTTGAAAAAAAAACCTAGATAGGTTGACTATTGTACTTATTAATACACAATCTATGATGAATTCAGTATCTTCCTACTTAAGTTGATTTCTTCAATTTTATGGAGTGTATATTCAACCAAGTGACTTTTTTATCTTCAGTCTTTGATGCTGATCATGAATCTGTAGTCAGATTTTTATTTGAGACAAGCTTAGTCCGTACAATGGCTGATTACCGAGCAAAATAACTATTAAGGATCATTTTTTTTAAAATTTTATGGGCTATTCATCAAATATTAAAAGTTGTTATCTTCGGCATTTTTCATAGATACGTCCGAAAAACATGATATTTTGGATTCGAAGGGTTCTCAATATGATCTTTCGTTTGCAATAAAAGAATCCAAAAAAAAACCTTTTAGTGGCGGTCAGCTCTATTGGTGGTCGCGCGGACCCTCTCTTAAAGAGTGAGTTTGCTAAACAATGGTACTATTACATGTCAACGCGTTTTCCATTAATGTTGAAAAATAGTGATACCTGATTCACTTGCATCATCCAGCAGAAAACAAAGATGATAGTTATTTTACTTTTTTGTTAAATCTAATCTTTCAGAAGAATATGGATCGTGTATTTGCTCATTAGTTGAAGATCAACAATCGATAAGATATCGAACAGATTGCATCGATTTATTTATTATTTGAGACTGAATATCAAGCTAATGTGAGGCGTATAGATTAAATGATTAAATTCATCTTATATCTTTTATCGAAGTCGATAGATAACAAGCTACACTATTCAAAACCAGACGCATCGAACGGTAACAACTAAGTATTTATAAGATTATTATTAGTGACAGAGAGAAAGAGAATTCGATATTTTATAGTTCTCTTATGTTTAATTTTTCTCGTCCTTCAGCATATCTAATGTTAATTCTTTGTCTCCAATCTTTTTTCTGAGCAACTCAAATAATTCGATTTGCTTTGAATTGTGAAAGAATTTCTGTGGGTACAAGCCAATTTGATCTATAGGTTGACACAACTTACAAAAATGAGTCATTTTTTATTTCGTTCTCTCTTTCAAATCTGTCGAACAGGGAAAAAATATTTCACAGGTGCATTAGAATATTATCGATTATCTTGCGAACACGATCGAGAAGAAGATAAGGTATTACTTGACTTCCTTTATAGAAAAAACTGTTAGCGCAATTCCTTGCAGGATTAGAAATGTGAAACACGATGGACTTATTGTTACTAATTAAATGGACACCGCTTTGTTCCATTTTTTCAAGATAGATTTGTACCTTACCATTTATTTGATGCTTTAACACTATAGTTTCTCTGTCACGGTCTGTGAGGGGCAAATTTTTGACCCTAAACACTTCAACACCCCTTTCAGATCGTTTTTCACAAAAAAAACTCATTTCTCATTTTTTTCTTCTTGAAAGTATTCTGTAACATGACAAAATCAATATAAATAAGAGAATTATAGACACCGTTTTAATCATTTTATTGAGACGTTTCGTTATGAACTCATAACATCATCAGTCAGA